TCGATCCTCGCCAGAGGGCGGAAATCCTCACTAAAGGAGAGCTGGCGCTAGTATGTTGTACGAGTGCATAAACTAGGAAATGCGAATAGGCTACAACATCCTAACAAGCATGGAGCTGTGCTCCGCGTTGGTGATTACACAGTCCGGGCCGAAAGGTTGCCATCTATCACTTCAGCGCACGTGAAGGACTGAGAGATGTTATGTTCTGGCCCTTGTGCTTTGACCTTCTGCTTTGGACAAAATGAGTTCCGGAGTATTGGTGCAGCCCGTCTTCTGTACGTAGAGTAGCTATGGGCCCGGATTAAACCAGCTGCATGGCTCATCGCGGAAGACTCTTTGTAGTTAACACGACTCTTGAGTTATCCTACCTGAGACATATGTCCGCTAAGTTTGTTTGTGGTGAGGTGGTGTATGCTGTGTTCTGCTATGTTGTTCGACCGTGAATTCATAACCTTGCTTTGATTTCACCCAGGCGAGGGAGTTCAAGTATGATGATTTTTTTTGTCTATGGAGGTGAAGCAGGGACAACTATGAAGTGCATGGGGTGGCAGGAAGTGAGAACAACTGATAAGATACCATAAAAGACGTTAGAATGGGTAGGTTACCAAATTCATATCTTGGGCCAGAACGACGATGGGATTTTTCGATAGGTTGATAGGATGAGAGTAGGTTGGGAACAACATTGGTGGGTGGCAGGGAGTGATAACAACAGTGATAACAACTGAGAAGATACAATAAAAGGCGGTAGAAGGGCTAGGTCACCAAATTCATATCTTGGACTACAGGAACGATGGGACGTTAGTCCCAATAGGTGATAACATACCGTAGAAGTAAACGTCTAAAGATGCTCACCAATGAGGAATGATAAGAGCCACTGACAGGTAGATACGTGAAAATGCTTCACCACTTTTACGAAAGGATATGAAGACATTTCACTATCATCTCGATATTGTTATCATCAAAACTCTTTCGACCGCTAGGCTGTCCGTATTTCCAACGAATGGAAGATGTTTTCAAAAGTGTGATAAGCACTGGGCACTGGCAATCGATCATTAATAAGGGGATATAACCGGAGATAGGTAGGTTGAAAATAAAAGCTAAGCTGGAGTTGTTGAAGGTTGCTGCAGACGTACTGTCATTTCTCAGTTGCATAGGCTTTAATCATCAGATGCGCGCAAAGTGCGCGTTAGCAAAACTGGTTATAAAATAGGAAATTATCATTGTTAAACGCGTTATTCCTCCTTTCCCTTACTAATGAGCGCAAAAGCAAGATATCACAAACTTCTTAGCTTCCGTCCAAGGGTACTTGCGAAATGGAAGCTAAGCGAACTCTTTGAATCATCACTCCCCCCCCCCTCTAAAAGAACTTCTACAAAAAATTTGTGTGAACGCCATAAACATGAAGACACTATGTGAAATGAAATCAAACTCTAATTACTTGATTTGATCTGTAATAATGAGTGTATTGCTAATGATAACCTGACTTGTCGACAGTTCTAACCCCCCCCCCCATCCACGCCTATGCTCTCGGAGTGGTGCTCATCCACTACCGAAACCCCACACGCCTTTACTACTTAACTATTCAATGATATAATTATTAGCTTATTTGCGCACATTCATGGCGTGGTGGTCGGCTTTGACAGAAATGACAGTGAATCGTTCATCAGAAGCCTTCATGAGCCTCATTTAGCGGTGATAAGCCAAATTTCAGAACCATACAACGAATAAAGAGACGCCGATTTTCCTCGGACATGGTGCAAATGATTTTCTCGTGCCGTTAACGTTCGGCCAACTAACGGAGAGACTTCTGAAGGCTTTCAATCCAAATGTACAGCTGCATGTGTACAATGGAATGGCTCATAGCAGTAGCCCTGAGGTGAGTTTTTGCGTCACGTTGAAGAGTTTTCCTAGACATAGTCTCCCATAGTCGAGTCATTTACTGAAAATGCTACGATTGAGTTCCCAAGTAAGCTGAGTATGGCTTTATTTTGTGATAGAGCTTGTGGAAGCTAGAATACGGAAATCGGAACAGCTCCTGATTTTTTGGCTAACACCAACTTATTTCAGGAGCTACGTGATCTAAAGAAGTTCATCAATGAGAGGATTAATTAGTCATTGAAGTGATGAGGCAGTCATTTTTTCGTACGTATTGTGTTCGAATTAGTAGAGTTTAACTTGTATAACGCAAATCATCGTAGTACTGAGAGGTTCTTCATTCACACTCATTCCAGTTCTCACTGAGTTTTGATTTATACTCGATTCTGGCTCAACTTGAGAAATTCAATAACTAATAAAGTATTGGTTTTATGGACCCACCGCGGTTTGTTTTGTTTCTAGGGCTTGTTCGTCTGCCTAAATCCTTGCAGGACTGAAAATTCAGCGGCTTCGGAGTAGTGCGTTGTTTCGCACCATTAAGTGTAATGTAAAATAGTTAGGACCTAAAGGCACACTACGCGATGGGTAGGGGTGGAGCTTAACCTTGGGTACTATGGCTAGAAGGGAGTTGAGACGGCGTGCGGCGTGTTGTGACGAAGCCCTTCCATGACTGTGACGCTTTTATTATCCATCCCTTATCTATGGCGCACAACAGGAGCACAACACCCAAGCGTGGTCCTCAGCTCCTGGGATACCCATCAGAGCACCCAAGCACACCACCAGCTGTGCTTCCGATTAGGAGACTAGAACGCGAAAATTTTCTATTATTTTACAATTTTATCGAAGAGAATGAGGAAAGGGGACTGAGGGAACTGTTTTTGAACAGTATCGTTTTTCGATTTCCGTGTTCTGGTTTCCACTTTGACCACATTTTGTTTTTAACGCTGTGAAAACTGCATTCAACTTCCATCGATGAACCTCAGTCTCGGAGGATTATTCCGCGATAAGTCGGTGGGCGGGGTCTCACAGTCGTTGTGTCTGCCTCATTGGTGCGCCAATCCTTCCGTTATGGTGCAAAAGAAGGACACTGGTCTCCACCTAGCCGAAATCTATTTGAAGTGCTTTTCGTGTGGCCAAGTAGGATGTGTATATATAGTTCTTACTCGTACCAATAATAAGGTTCGGGATCTTGTTCCATGTGGAATTGGCAGGGTTCTGTGGAACCAGTGGGGAATGTGACAGTTGAGATTTTTTTTGGTTCCACACACGCCGTACACGGCTTTTCTCAATGTTATCTGGGTCCGCGGCGCTACCGCTTGCGTCCTGTGCCGGTAAATTCGTTTTGTCCATCTAGTGTTTTTTTTGCGATAGTTGGGAACGTTTTGGGTTTTCGTTATTTTCTATTTCCCTTCTCGTTACATAGCACTTCGGCGCTGTTTATCGACAGGGGGGGGGGCATTCTGCTTTCCATAGATGTGCCGACCCATCTAGGTAGCCTTTTCTCGAGTTGACACGTTTTAGGATGGTGGCTAGACGATCTTGCACCAGCTTCACAA